AATTTTTGCATTATTTTGAATTATTTTTTATTTTTTATTTCTTTGAAATTAATGATCCCATGTTTTACCCAGCAGCCACGAGACATACAAAAGAGGTCTTTAAAACCTTTTGAATGTCTTTTAAATGTTTTGGACATCTTTTGAACGTTCAAAATACATATTTTTTAGGTCCCTGTGCCCACTGGGTATCCAGTGGGCATGGGGCTCAGTGAAGAAGTTAGAAAGACGTCTTTTATATGTCTTTTGAGCATTTTAGATGCCTTTTGAACATCTTTGAGACCTCTAAAAGATGTCTTTTTTAGGTACGGTATACCTAAATGAAATTTAAATGTTTTTAATTCTACTCCTAGGTAGAATTAGAACTAAAATTTTAATTAAAAACTCTATTTTTGGGTAAATTATTTAGAGAAAAAAGTTTTTATTTACTCAAAACATTTTTTTAAAAATGTAATATCCAGTAGAGAGTGATAGTAATATAATAACCTTGTAATTATGAAATTTTGTTAAAAATTAATTGATGTAATTGATTTGGATTTGGGTTGGCAAATGTGATCATAAATATATTTCTGAGGCTTCCAATTTTTGATCATAAAGTTTGGGAGCCGGAGCCGGACATTTCTTAGGAGCCAGAGCCAAGCCGTAAAATAAAAACATTCGGCTCCACAAGATAGCTTGTAACCATTTTCTCAGAGCTGAGTAAAATTATGATGAAAATTTTAGAGGCTTGTTTGTTACTTTGTGGATAAAAACTTGAAGGAATTTTTTAAAAATTCTTCTGTTCATTTTTCCAAAGCGTGTTTATAAAATCTTAGATGTTTTACTTTTACAAACTACTGTTTTAATTTGTATCATGTCAATTTAAATAACTCTCAAAATTATTCTTTATTGCTTAAACATTTGAAATTGGTAAGTTAAAAAACACTTAGTTTTAACAAGTTTTGATTTTTATGCATTATTGTAATTTGTGTTTTTTTATTTGTTGTGTTAGTAATATTGTGAGTTTAAATATTAATAATTTTTTCACCTTTGAAATGCCATATTTAAATCTAAGACACAGTCAAAGTAGGAGTTTGTTTAATTTGCTTGGAAAAAGAAAAGAATCTAAGTAAAATATAAGAAGGAAGTGTAGTTTTATTAAGAATCAAAAAATATTTCATTGACAATATTAACTTAAATTAATTTATTTAATTATAAAACTTAATTTTAACTGTTTTCCAAATGGAATTTATGGAATATGTCAAACTAATTTAGTAAAAGTGGAAAAAAATTAACACCAATATAGTTTTATGTAAACCATTTTATTTCTCAAAAGATCAAAGAAACTATTCTGACTAGAAACTAATCTGGCAGACACCTTGTGTATATATATATATATATATATATATATATATATATATATATATATATATATATATATATATATATATATATATATATATATATATATATATATATATATATATATATATATATATATATAGATAGATAGATAGATATATATATATTTATATATATATATATATATATATATATATATATATATATATATACATATGTATATATATATATATATATATATATATATATATATATATATATATATATATATATATATATATATATCAGGCTTGGTCGGGAAGCGGGAGCGATCGCTCTCGATTGCTGACTACGTAAATAATATTTAGTTGCGAAAAGCTGGCCAGATTTTTTAGTTGTTTTGAGAACATTTTAACAAGCAAAAAAAAAAAAGCGCTTAAGATTAATTGGACCGATGAGAGACAATTACGAAAATTTTTTTATAAAATTAAGCGATATTTTTTATCTAAAGTAACTTCTTACGATTGTTTAAAAAGGAAACAAATATTCTTTATTAAACAAAGTTTGCAAGTTTTAGTTTTAAAGTACATTTTACAAACGATTTTTATTTTTGTTTTCCTCATTCAAAAAAATATATACCTATATAGGAAAATCTGTTGTTATTTTTTGCTCAGCCTTATCCAATTTCATTGCTTAAAATAATAACCACCCAAAAGAAACAAAAATTAAAACAGTACACAAATTGTTTAAATTATTAATTTTTTTTTCTAGTTAAATTTATTTGAGTTTCCTATTTTGCTAGTTTTGCTTTCTTTTTTTTGAAACTTAGTTTGTGTTGCAAAGTATTAAAACGCTTAATACATAAAACTTGCAAACAGTTGATCAAGTTGTCTAAATAAAAAACTTTTTTGTGGATAAATGAGACATAAAACTGCATGGGTCTTCTGGGAAGGCTTGATATAGCTTAAAATTCAGAAGTTCATATGTTGATAACAACCTTTAAGTTTCTTTTAAAGAAACTGATGTTTGTACAGAACACTTTTTTATAGTTTAAACACTTTAGGAGAGTGAGAGGGGGAGTGCTCCTTCATAAATAAGAAAAACAAAAATTTTTGCTTTTCTAATTCATGAAATTACTCTAAGTAACAGTCTGCAAGTTTGCACATTTAAAGGTAATCTTAAAGTTTAATGCCACAGCTTTAATACAATAATATAAAAGACAGGTTTGTCATTATTTGTCCCATAATGAAGTTATTATAATATAGTCAGTTTCAGGTAAGTTGAACAAATGAACTTCTACTTTTGTTATTTTAAACTGTTTTCTGTTGTCCCTTAAAAGCAAAAACAACTGTTTTGCTACGCTTAAGTCGAACATTTGTTTAGTTGAACTGTTTTTTTTCTTGATTAAGGTTTTTTGAGGTTTGAGTAAACAGGAGTTTACTTTACTAACTTACGATAAAGTTTGTTATTGTTTTTAATCAATTAAAATATCTCTCTTTAAATTTGTCTTTCTATTTATTTTCTAAGTTTTTTCCTCTGATTCTGATGATTCTGTGTCCCAGACATCATAGTATTTTGAATTAGGTGGTGTAAAGTTTTCAGGGGCATCACATAAATATGTTGAATAAGAAAGATTCCTTAAATTGTATTTTAAAAAAAGAAGTGTTTCAACATTTGTGTTGTAAGTCTGATGCGATCTTTTTGTATTAACTTTGAAACTTTGAACTCACTCTCACTTGTTGTTAAGCTTGAGGGTGAACATAAATATACTTTTGCCAAGTTTGCTAGCGTTGGGTTTATAGTGTGTATCAGAGAAGATGATAATGATGCCAATGATTAAGATGATGATGATGATCATTGTCATCATCATCATCAGAATCATCTTAATCATCATCATCAACTGTATGCTTGATGATGATAATGATGATGATGATGATGATGATGATGACGATGACGATGAGATGCTATATATACCTTTATATAAAATATATCATGAATTTTGAATAATAATATATTTATAAGGAATATCAATATTAATGCAGCCCCGGTCACAAACCCGGCCCCGGCTATGTTTTATCAAACCCGACCCCGGCCCTGGCCCCGGTCAAATATCAACCCCGGTCGCATACTAGTTGGGAGTGAATCAGAATTAAAAAAAAAAATAGCTGCAGCATTTAAGGATATAAATAGTCTTCACAATATGAACCAAGTTCATATTGTAAAATATAAACTTGGTTCATCACGGCTGTTTCAATGTGAGCTTTACGGCTTCTTGTTTTTAAAATTTTTTTTTTATTAGATATCACATTATAAAACCACTTTAACTTGAAAAGAAGTTTGTTTTAACCTGATTTTTAACTGAAACAGGCAATATTTGTCAGTAAAGCAAAACGCTACTTTTTTACTCGTAAAATATTAAAGGTCACGTGATTGTTTTAAAATGTAAACAAAAATATACACATAAAAATAGAAAAAATGTTCTAAACCAGCCAAGTTTGAAGACATATTTGGTAACATAGCTAGAGGTATAAATAACAGTTTTAGGATTTTCGTGTGAATAAAGAATTAAAAATTTGGTAATTTGGTGATTGTTACAAAAAAAGTTATATTTTGCATATAAAAGTCATAAAAAAAAAAAAATAAATGCATTAAAAACTAGTTTTTGCTAAAAAATTATTTACGATCACCAAAAATCAGATAGAAAAGACATTCATGAATATATATATTTTTTTGTTATTCACCTCCTCAAGGCCGAGAAGGCCACTAGAGATGAGGAGGCTACTTAATAGTGGTTATAACCCTCTCTCAACTCTATAACTCCGAAACACAAACCCTAACAAACAAGGCCGCTGCGCGGAGAAACAAGTTGAAATGTTCCAAATTTCAACCAATAACCATGTAGCTATGTTATCAAATCTTGGTTGTCCTAAGACAGGTTTTTTTGTAAAAATCGCCAAAAATCATTTAAAATATTTTAACAATGTTTATTTTTATTTCGTCTAATGTAAATATTTATTTAACGAAGAAAGATAGTTCTTCTATATTTTTTTGATTTGAAGATGAAAGCATTTATTAAAAAAATATATATATTATTTTAAAGTTAGTAAATTTTTATACTTTTTATGTGGAAATATTTTTTTTTTTTAAAACACAAAAATTCTTGTGACCTCAGGCTTGCTTTTATATTGAGTAAAACAGCCGTGTCATATTGTAATGTATGAAACATTTATTTATGCATGTGAAAATATCATACATTTATGATATTTTCACATGCAGGAAACCTGCTGTGTGGGTGTCATGTTTTTACAGATTTTTCTAAATTAAATCTTTCCAATACCACATTTCAAATTAGATACTAATACATACACCCCAATTACTATCTTATACAATGTTGTTAGAAAGTTTAATTTATATTACTTTAAAAAACTGTTTATAAATTTAGTTTAACTGTTGGACAAGGTGTTTGTACTTTAAAGTTTATAAAGTTAATTTGTTAATTTAATGTAATTTGTAAAATTTTTTTTTTTTAAGTATGTTGATTATACAGAAATAACAATACAGTATTACAAATAACAATACAAAAAACAACAAGGGGTAGCTAAAAACTAACTGAAGCACAAACAGGAGGGGTAGCAGAAAGAAAAAAAAAAAAATTAAATGAATTGTTTAAATATTTTGTTTAGAACCTGCACCAGAATTAAGAGTCCCTTCAAATTTGAATTCGTCAAATGCTTCAAACAATAAAGGTTTGAATGCTGAGTTAAATTCAAAATTTTTTGATAAAATTAGCTATTATATTGGTACAGATTGGAGTAGGTTTGCACGTTATCTTGGCTTGTCTGATGCAGAAATTGATATGATTGACAATGATAATCGGAAAACTCTTGAGAAAGCTATGCAAGTTATGGTGAAGTGGAAGCAAAAAAACGGAAACGTGACATGGCAGCAGTTAAAAGTAAACTTGGAATCAATTGAGCGTTTTGATATAATTAGGCAAATCGAAAAAGAATTTGCAAGTTCATTAGCTCCGCAAGGTAATCTTTTAAAATAGAAAATATAATCATTTTCAAGCTGTAATTTTGACAATCATTGCTAGTAAATGTTTTTACAAAAATTTTGGTTTATAAGCATAATATATATATATATATATATATATATATATATATATATATATATATATATATATATATATATATATATATATATATATATATATATATCGTGTGTATATATATATATATATATATATATATATATATATATATATATATATATATATATATCGTGTGTATATTCATATATATATACATATACATATATATATATATATATATACATATATATATATATATATATATATATATATATATATATATATATATATATATATATATATATATATATATATATATATATATATATATATATATATATAATATATAATATATAATATAAGAATATATAATATATAAGAATACCGTGTTTGACGGGGCGCCACAGGGCTAGTTTACACCCTGTATATATATATATATATATATATATATATATATATATATATATATATATATATATATATATATATATATATATATAGGGTGTAAACTAGCCCTGTGGCGCCCCGTCAAACACGGTATTCTCAAACGCTCATAAAATTAAATGGAAATTTAATCGTCAAGCATGGTATTCTCAAACGCTCATAAAATTAAATGTAAATTTAATTTGGAAATTTTATTTGCCAAATCATAAATTAAAATTTAATAATAATTCTAAAAGTTATCAAAAATTAAGTATTATTAAATACTTAGAGAAACATATCGTAAAAAAATCTAATTTTATTGTGTAATACTGGAAATAAAATTGACGTTATTAGTATAATTACGCTATTGCTCAACTGTAAAAATGTCTCTTGAGAGAAAATTCTTGAGAATTGGGATTTTTCAAATAATTTTAGGAATTTTCTTGGCAACTTGCTTGAAAAATTAATTTCTCAAAATTTGCAATCATTCTTTGAAATGTCTTCCAACAACAGCAAATATTATATAAAAAAGTTAGCCAGAAAAAAAGTGCAATCTAAAAAAATAACAGATTTGTTTGGTTTCAATCCCAAAAATGCTATACCTTTAAAAGCTTTCCATGTTTTGTCGGAACTTCAAACAACTTATTTAAAAACTCTACTTCAAGTAGTACATCTGCTTCGTCAACAAGGTTGATTCAAAATACCAAAAACCTGTTTACGTCAGATAATTTCGAAATTTCGATCAATTCAGATATTACAGTAAGTCTTCTAGTTATTATTATTTTTTTTTGGTATTTTGTATTAACTAAATTACGTGATCGCATTGACTATAATTGACTATAATTTTTTAGAAATACAAAAAATGTAGTATAATTATAACAAACTGTTACTAAAAATTTGTTTAACGAGGAATTTCATTATTTTACTGTTGTCTTGTATTTAAAACGTAAACTAAATACATATATTAAAACGTAAATTTAATACTTTTAATAACAAGAAAGTTTTTTTTATAACAACAAACTAATATGAGAAATTTAAATGAAAAAACTAAATTCACAGCTTTAAAGTGTAAAAGCAAATGTTTGAATATTTTATGACTATGAGTGAAAAAATAATTGTTAGTGCTCTTCGCTGCAACGATAGAATGCAATTGCAAGCGATCAATATTCTTTTGTAATTAATCAACTTTTTTTATTTTTGGTGAGACTTTATTTTGCTATGCCATTAATGTATAAAAAAAGATTAACACTAATTATAAAATTGAACTTAAATTTACACATTAAAGGTGAATTATGAAATTTACTAGCTCATGTCTAACATTTTTGTAACATTTTCTATTTTTCCATTATTAAAACATTCCTTTTGTTGACACTATCTATTACATTATAGTGTAAAGGTTTGTCCACAAAGGACGTCTAGCAGAATTTAAATAATAAGTAGAAGATCATTGACTTTCCTCCGAGGAGGTTTTCATAAATCGCTATTTAAAAAAAATATTACTTTAAAAATCTCTGCACACAAGAGCCATTAATCTCCTACTTCAAGCTATTAGGTATATTCAGTATAACAATGCTTTTTGTCGACACCTTGAAATAGTAAAAAATTTTAAACTCCAGGTAGATCCTGATGTTACAAAAAAATGATTCATTAACTAAAAAACCAAAACTTGATTTATGTTTGAAGTCGACTGAAAAGTTAGAGAGTCTATTTACAGATTTTTATTTTTTGTCAGCGTTAAATGGTTGGTTCTGTAAAATGTGAACATCATTTGCTGCTCATGGTGGTTCAAGGGCTTTTATTGAAAAGCCAGGAATGCTTGCAGATCATCTTGTTGAGCGTTCATCTGCCCATTTATCATCGGTTGACATAATGTGATAAAAAACAAACAAACATTCCAAGAGTTGAGTAAAAGAGACACAGATGTTTGGAAAATGATTCCTGAAAATAATCTTGCACAAAAAAATGTTAAAGATTCAAAAACAAAATTTGTTCTGAAGTCTTTTTTTTGCCTAACTCATTTACTTATAATGAAGAATTGGGCTCATACTCACAACTTTAAAAAGTTAATAGAGCTTATTGCGCAATGTGGGGGAAAAGATGTACAATCTCATCTACTGATGATGTAATGCTACCTATATGTCATCCATGTATATATCAAAATAAAAATATTATATGCGAATTTGTCAAGCGTCTGCTGCTTAAGTCACATCGAGGGAAAAAATATGCATTTTATTCAGACCTCAGATATTACATTGGTTGAACAACTAGCTATTTATGCATGTTTTAAACATTGTGGTTCAGTAAAAGAACATTTTGTTGGACTGCTACAGTTAAGTAAACTAGTTGGGACAAGCTTATCTGCCAAAAACTTATTTAAAGTTATTGAAGATTTTTTTATATCAATAGATGTTCCATTGCACAATGCTCGTTATGCATGCATGAATACTACCAATGTGAACTCAGGTGAGAAAGGGGTTTTAAAGTGATACTTAGAATATTCAGTCCCACAATTACGGTTGACTGTAGTAGCCACACATAATGCTTAGCATTATGCTTTATCTTCTATCTGACTTTATATGTGTAAAAGTAGCCAATGTGTTTCTTCTTAATCTTTGGAAACTTTATAAATATCGAACAACAGCAATGAACTTGCTGCAGGAAAGTGCCAAAATATATGGCTATATTGACAACATTGTGCCTATATGCGCAACTACAACTAGACTAACTACAACTACTTTTTAATTGCCTTATGTACTTGCTATAACGAGCGAAAAGAAGCAGAAGCTCTTGGTTTGTTTATGCAAGCTTCAAGTAAAGAAACAATACTGTCAATACTTATGTTGTTAGATGTTTTTTCTGCCATTGGTCCTCTTGTATTTTTTTTTTTTTTTTTTTTTTATTTATTTATTTGAGTTTTCATGCTATATTTTTCTATACAATGCTCTTATATCCGAAGATATTGTTGGCTTAGCATAGGAACAGCCACAAATAGTCATTAAGACTAATCCAAAGTAGCGTCTGTTATTGACCAACATTTTTGCGTACCGAAGTACTACTCAAGCGCTGAGTTGGCGGTGACGGGATTTGAACTCGTATCGTTCAACAGTCCAGGTTTTAACTTTTCCTTTAACGCTCTAACCATCTGAGCTATCCCGCCACTGTACTTTCTACTTGTACACTGTACTTTGTACTTTCTCTGCAGTCATCACAAGGAAGTATTTGTTTGAGTGATATTCTTACATACGTTGACCAAACAGAGTTCAATTTGAATGCAAATTTAAACGGATCAGTATGAAAATTCTTTACATTAGGAAATACTAAAACATGGTATCTACTGCCAGTGACATTTGCGCATCTCTACCTACATTAAGTCGTTTGCACAAGGAAAAAATAACTTTTCAAAACTTTGAAAAAAGTATTTATTTGGCATTTTAAAGTTCTTTTAAAGTTGAGCTGACGAAAGCATTTGAACAAATAAAATTTTGGAAATGTTTATTGGTTTTTGATCCTCGCAATTTTCCTACAAAGATGTTTGATCTGATTGATTAGGGCAAAGCAGAGTTGTCAACATTATTAAATCACTATGGGAACCTTCGTGAAAGTAATCAATTCAGTCAAATGGTGTAACAAGACAGAGATGTAGATTCGGAGAGAATGAAAATTGAATTTGAGGGGTTTAAATATTTAAAGGAGTGGGAAACATGTTTTGATTTATAAATACTTAATGCATCCACTGAACAACAGCGACAAGATTTAAAGAATAAACGAGAGTCATTACGGACTGGTTTAAAAAGAACTAGTTTAAATCAGGATTTATATAGTAACTGAACGTTTTTATTGAATTTTAATTTTTCCTATAAGTGTTGATTTTTCCTATAAGTGTTACTTGTGTAGAAAGGCTGTTTTCTAAATTAAAACTAATACAAAATCGACTATGCAACCAGTTGTCTCAGAGTATACTCGAAAATCTTTTGATAATATCAACCGAAAGTCCTGAACAAGTATTTGGGGATGAGGTTCTTCAAAGTTTCGTCGAGGAGCTGAAAAAAAAGAAATCCTAACATCAGAGTTAAACTATAGTTAATATAATTTAAATATTTATTTTACTGAGTTGTAATTAATATAAAAAACAAAACAGTGTGTCTAATTAATAAGGTAACTGTTTTATCTTAGACAAGAGTTTATATTAGTTTTTTATCTTTTTACAAGATGTTTTATAATTTGTCAGGTTAGAATTATTTTGTTCCAACTCTCCATTTGTTTAAACTGAGATCAAGTAGCAGTTTTACACTGCAATCCAGCAGAGGTGGCAATACTTTTTTTAATAATGCAAACATTTTCAATACTTGACTATATACTCATTATAATTATTTGTTGTGAACAATTTTTTTTTTGCTCAAATCGCTAATATGGCCCCACCCTGTTTGGAGATAGAACAAAATAACTTTTAATTTTAATTTCACTACGATATTATTTTGTGCTATCTCCATTTTTTAGTAAATACAACTTGAACGTTTT